GAGGAGAGCTGCTTCAGCTTCTGAGTGAGATTTCGAGATGCCTCGGCGAGAGCCCGAGTGTCGAGGGTGGCGGGCTTGGGCGGCGATTGTTCCAGCATCATCGAGGAGGTACAGGTTGGGCTTTGCGGGCTCGATTCCTCGTGCAGACTCCTCGTGGCGTCCATACCATTGGAGGTAATGGACGACGACGGCTGGCCGTGATGATGGTGACCGCTGCAGAGCTTCTTTCTGGGCAGCGTCGTGTCGTAAGCAGATTCCAAAGCAGACTGTTCCTGAATCGAGGACGAACCCGAGCTGAAGGAAGCGGAAGAAGAGGGAGAGGAGGAGGAGGAGGAAGGATTGGGCGAACTAGGTTTGTTTCTCGAATGATGATGGTGGTGATGGTGATGGTGGTGATGGTGATGACCATGATGATGGCCGTGATGGTGGCCGTGATGATGGTGATGGTGATAAAGCGGACACGGCTGGCACGCGCTGGAGGAGCTGCCATTTGTAGCCGAGATGCCATGCGAATTGCCACGCGTGGATTGCAACTGTCCCAAGTTGCCGTTGGACGACGACGAGTGTGCCGGGCTGATCGGCGCCGCGGAGACAGATGAGGATGATGTTATGACCCGGCTGGAGCACACCGGGCTAGTGGTGGTGATGCTGGCGGTGGATAGGTTGCCGCTGTTGCTGTAACTGGCGGCGGCGTGTAGGGCGCTCGCAAGGCTACTGATCAGATGCGACGTCCTGCCAGCCGGTGCTCCGGCAGCGTTTTGCGGTTTAGCGACACTTCCCGGTGATCTAGCCGTCAAGCATCTTCTGGTCTGCAATGTCGAGTGACCGCCGGGCAAATTGGATACGCTCGTGGCGCTGCCACCGTTGGATAAACCAGCGACGTTGCTGTTATTGCTGCCGCTGCTGCTGCTATTGCTGCTGTGATGATTGTGGCCGGCACTGCTGGCGGAACTCGCCTGACTAGCAGTCGGTGATGCCGGGGTTACGGTAGACAGCTGCAGCTGTATCAACATCATGTGATCGCCCAGTCGCATCGTCAGATTAAGCGGTGCCTTGCCGGACAAGAAGTCATTCACCTGTGAATCATTGAGACTCTCCAAGGCCTGCATTACGCTCTGCTCCGGTCGTTGTGCCTGAAACAATAGGCGAAACGAAAAGGATCGTTATTTCAGGAATGATAATGGTCCGATTGCGCATTTAATGTCGCCATCAAGAAACGTCCGGTTAACGCGAGAACCGCTTGTCACCTCTTTGAGATGACAAGCAACGCGATATACGCAAAAAGCTACATCTTAATTATAGCGCACTTTTTATTAATATTTTTATTAATATACACGGCTATATATAAACGAGTTGGACATTATAGGGCAATGATACATTATAAAAAATTATTATTATATACAAAATTATAAGGAAGGAGAGATATGTAATACAATTTTATTTCAGGAGTTTCATTGCTTAAAGCTAGTATTCATTATTTACCAGATAAATCCGTATATCGATCGTAATTGATTTGTTCATACTAATAACAGAGACATCGGTAACATTATATCGGTAGTATTAATAACATATTAATAACTCTGAACCTTCGCTCAATATTGACATAATTTTCCATTCTTCACCGTCATTTATTAACGAGAAGAAATAGCTAATTAAGCAAAAAAATAAGATAAACTTTACTACTAAAATTAAGATAATTCTTAACTTTATTTTCGTCGTTCGTAATTTTAGATTTTTTTTTTTTCTTTAATAAATATCTTCATTCACTTGGTAATTTTATTCATTTTCATTTAACAATCTCGGAAATATTTACGACCGTAATAAGACTGATTTGAACCTATCTAAAAATATCATGTATTTCTCTTTTTTTATGATGGAGTATCGATTGCGCCGGTGTTATTTTTTTTTTTTTTTTCAAGTGCTACCAGTGCAAGATGAGACCGCGCGAATCGATGAGACCGCGGTGAGAGATAGAAGGCGCGAGAAGACCTGCAGAAGAGAGGAAACCTCGCGGAACCGAGGCTCAGACCCTCGACGAGCACAGTTAGGCATCCCTCACGCACACCTAACGGACTTCCTTTCGCCGGACACGGTCATCGTCGGATTCGGTAATTCGATTCGCGGACTCGTTTCTAAAGAAAGTCCCGACTTCGCGGGAATCGCGTCCGGCTGCGTCGCGGTCTACCCGTTCTCTTGATAAAGAAATTTTTCTTTATCTTCTTTCGCAGCTTCAGCGAAGGATCAGTCAATGAAAAAAGGAACACTATATAGTAAAATTTGTTTGGATATTGAAAACATGTGTGGAAATCCCATTTTTGTTTAAATGTGCAAACATTATCAAAGACTATTTTTATTTATATATTTTTAGTTACCGATATTACATAATTAAGTGTTACATTAAAATTCTGTTCTGCTTCTATTTGAGATTAAATGAAAAATTTATTTATTTGTATATGTATCAAAGATAATTCGTGAAAAATTCTACAGATTTCTGACTCTTTATAATCTGAAAAAGAATCTACGCGATAGGTTTATCCTTTGATAAACTTTCTTGTCGTTTTTGGATTAAATTGTTGTAATTTGAAGGTCAGTTATTTTCAAAGGTAAAATCTTAAAATTCTAGATCCTAAAAGCTCCTAAAGGATCCTAAAAAATAAACAAGTTGAAAAAATATATGATATCGACACATTTAAATTTTTCCTTCTTGTTTATTGTTGTTTTAATGACAAGAATTTAGGAAAACAGAATGTGTATCTTTTTGTTCTCCATCATCTTTTATTTAGCTCAATGATAGCGCTATATAAGAATGCGACCTTCACGCATGCATGCATATCACATTCTTAGTAAGCTGCAGTTTTAAGGACGATCAAGTATCCGTTCAAACAATTGAACAAACATATTTATCTCTCAGAGAGCCTGACACTATCTTGAGACCTCCCACCGGAAATCTCACCCTCTGTATCAGTATCTGCAGGTAACGATCGATAGAATGTCTATTCAAACCCGAAAAACATTTCCTAAGAATTACCTGATTTTCAAAGCAATTTGTTAAAGGATCCAGATAAGATAAGAATATTTTTCAATAAATCATACAAATAAATATATATTTTTTGTGGAAAGATCTTGATGTTTTCTATTCAAAAGTTTATAAATTTAAAAGTTATAAAAATAAAATTAAGAATCACTCAAGTTACAGTAATTAAATTTGAAAAATTTTAAAAGAAATTATAAAAACTCTAAAAAAATAAACATTTTATATTTTATATTTAAAAGTTTTAGTCTTATTTTTAAACAAACAAAAATTATATAATATATAATCGGTACAAAATTTAAATTTTATAAGACTATTAAAATATGTAAATATCCGTTTTCATTAAACAAAATTGCACCAAACACAAAATCATTGTCTTCAATACTAAATATTAGATTAATCATAAAATCATTATACTTTGAGGTTTAAAATGGATGCTGTTATTGTTAAAAATTTAAAATGATAAAGTCCCGATTAAACAATATAAAGACAAAATATTAGAAAAAGTAACTTCAAAAAATTTTCCGATTTTGAATAAAATTTCCTAATTTTTCTAAACATAAATAAATTTCAGGTTTTCTAAGTTTTTCCAGGTGGACATTCTTCCGTAGCGTGAGAGAGTCGCGCAGCATTAAATTTACTCGTCGATGTCTTGTCGGTGATGTCATAAATTATTTACCTCCGACGCTAAATATAAGAAATCGACCCCGTCACCTGCTCGCGCGACCGTCGCACCCGATGTCGCAAAACGGCTGCGAGGAAAATGGTGCTGCTCATGCCGGTGCGCACGCTCCACGTGTCGCATTAAATTCTATTCACGATTAGGGTACGAGATACTGGTATCGTTTGCCAAAGCAAAACGGAAATAATAACATGTTTATTTCGTTATTCATAGTCGAGGCGTTCCGTCGATATACCTTTTTAAGCCGTGGCTTCTTCTGTATCTTAAAATACATTCTTTCCGAATTTAAAAACAAGTGTTGAAACTTCGCCTCTCGACGTCATAATCTCGCGACACAAAGAGCTTACATCGGAAATTTTTTTTACTTATGAAACTATCAAGCACGAGAATATTAAATTTTACGTAATTTTCAAATTTATGCACCAGATAAACGTTCGTATAATAAATGCTAACTCACGAGTATAAATGGGGACGTATAAATCTACACCTTTACATCACGGACTTTCTCGATGAATGTCTCATTTGAATAAAATGACAGATCCAAAGGAACAATTTTGTTAGAGCCGACAAACCGTTCGATATCGCCTATCTCCTTGTTATATACGCATCATATATTATACATATTATATATATATATATATATATATATCCCTATGAATTAGGCATCGCAAATCATCCTCGCCTTCGCCTTCGCCTTCGTGAAATCGGCGCTCTCTGCTCTTTCGGCCGCTCTTTCGCTGAACGGAGCTCGTGTCCCAAGCCCGATCTCGTCGCTCGGTGAAACGCTCTTGCAAAACGATTAACCAATCGCGCCCGGCACCCAATCGTCTGTGAGTCTCCCACAGCGAGCTTCCTCGGTGCGCCACGATCGATCGGACGAAACTCGTGAATCGCCGTCGAATCGTTCAAGGATTGCGGAGCGTCGCTCTTTCAAAACTCCCCGAGGGAAGAAAGTCGTCCAAACTTGACTTTCGCGATTCGCGGGATTAATTTTTCCCTTCCGCGGGGAGCCCCGCGTGGAAAAGCGCGTCATCAGGCCACGCTCGAGGCGAGGAGATCCCTTCCCCCGCGCGTTCCACCGTTCGTAACTCTTCTCGAAAGCTGATACGAACTAAACTCAAACGAGTGAAAGCGATAATAAAAGCGATAAGCGGGTCAAGAGTAGAGATTGAACACTGACGTGGTAGATCGCGTAACCGACGATGAACTTGTCCGTTTCCCGCTATGTGAATTATATAAAGTCGGACGAAGAGAGAAAGGAAAATTTGAATCGATAAGAACCCCCTCTTTCCCTCTCCTCCTTTCCCCCTGCGACATGGCGCTATATTCGGATATCACTTGAATCGAATTTCAGACTTTCCTCCCCGCTGAATCGGGAAAGAAAATCGTGATAATTGAATTTCATGCCGGATACTTTCGCGATGTTTTTCACACGGAGATAATCTCGCTTTTCCATTTTCATCCGGCGAGTGAAAAAAAAATAGAAAAAAAAAAAATCGCGCGATTCAATCTCCCAGGCGCGCGTCCCTTAATTCACCTGCCCGTCTCTCGCTTGAAATTCCAGAAATGAAAGGAAAACTCGGCTCGACTCGGCTCAGCACGGGAGCAAATGCGATGATAATCCGTCTATAACTCTATGTAATTATTCCAACGGTTAATAGCGGCCAACGGCCGTGTATTTCCGACGGAAATAGCCGGCATACAATTGGCTTGCCGTCGCTGCCGTCGTCGTCTTCGGCCGCGAAATCAATTTATCGTAAAGTGTGTGTGTGTGTGTGTGTGTGTGTGCGTGCGTGCGCGCGCGTGTATGTGTGTGTGGTGTGTATCGTACGCCTTAACGCGATAATCTCGTCTTTGCTGTTTATGCCCGAGCCAAAACGCCGGAAATCTAGAGGCTGGATAAAGTAGTTAGCCGAGCGGCATACATGACGAGACAACGTTCAAGACGATGGCGACCGGTGGAGGATTTTCAGGTAGAAAGGACGTCTTTTTTTATCGTCTATCGCCTTTAAATTAGATATTTTGTTCCTTTCAAAAGAAATTCCTTTCAAGAGATGTCGGACAATGGGTATAACGGCAGCAATATCTGGAAAAAAGGCAGAAAATCTGTTTTGAAAAAGGTTTTAAGTTATAGCAGATTTCACCTTATCTCTCCTAAAAGACATGTAAAATTGAAATAAAATACAGATATTAAACATATACACGTTTTTTCGTTTTTTCTTTTTTTCTTTTTTTTTTCTTGGCAAAGCGTTTCTCTGGCAATCATCATCATGATTTTTTATTCGTCCAGAAAAAAGGAAACATCTTAAAATGTCAGGAATAATGAGGTCGATTGTCGAAAGAAAACACGTAATAATACGCGAGAAACGTAGCGCGTAATCTAAGGGAATTAACGATATGCAATGATGTGCGCGCGGTGGAGGAGGAGATACGAAAGATTACATCTCTAATCGCGCCGAGAACTTTCACCCGGTGAGATATCGGTGGACGGATATCGACAGGAGTAGTAATCCGGGGAGAGAGGGCGAGGGGGAGGGGGAGGGTCAAAGCTAAAATCGCGGAATGAGAAATACCGCGAGAATGTCACGCGTGAAAAACCAGTCGAGCCGCGTCTGGGAGGAGGTACCAAAATTACTTCCAACTCCGGCGAAGATGGATTCTGCCATTTTGCCAGCATCTAACGGTGATTTTGCGAGCCAGCGAGAAAGCTGGCCGCCGGACGAAGTCCGAAAAGCCGACCGGACCTTCTCTCTCTCTCTCTCTC